TACTGGTCTTCAGGCTTCCACCTTACAAAAGCCCTAAACCCCTCTAAAACCATCAAAATAGACCCGCCTAACCAGCTTGACCAGGCTGAAAGACCAGCTAACCACCTGAAGTCCCCTGTATACATAATTATTAGGCATAATTATTAGGCAAGTTGATATTCCGATCATTTTTTTTCCAAGCACATTTTACCAAGTCCAAATCACATCAATCTTGACTACTAAAAATAACTACTATTAATTGTGTATTTGATCATTATAAGTGATATATAATTGTCCATGAAGGCTGGAAGTGAAAAACTCCTTATATTCAGGTGTGCATAATTATTTTCTTTTACAGATAAAATGAGGCAAAAAAGAGATTTAACTTTTTTAAAAGTAAAAAATTATTAAATGCCCCATGAGAAGTAACTTTGCAGCTACATGTTATCTAGCAGTCACTGAAGTATTAGTAGACTGTCTGCTAAATAAACAATTTATTTTGATGGTCAACTGACAGACATTCTACTGACTATAAGAAACTTTACAAGTTCTTGTAAATGTATTTTACTAACCCTAACCTAATAGTCTTCTAATACTCTAAAGAGAGTTAGTTGACATGTAGTTTAAAGGGGTCATATGATGCGATTTAAATTTTTCCTTTCTCTTTGGAGTGTTACAAGCTCTTGGTGCATAAAGAAGATCTGTAAAGTTGCAAAGACTAAAGTCTCAAATCCAAAGAGATATTCTTTATAAAAGTTAAGAGTCAACCACACCTACCTAAAACGGCTCGTTCTAACACGCCCCCACATACCTACGTCACGATGTGGGAAGATTTGCATAACGCCGCCCAAATGTTCACGCAAAGAAAGAAGGCGTAACTTTTATTCTCGCTGTAGTATTGTTATTGCCGCTGCCGCCATGTCGTGAAGGCGCTGTGTGTTTCGTTGTGAAAGCGAAACTACTTTGTTTGGTCTTCCAAAAGAGGACGATATCCGCTTCATCATGCCTGGAGCTGATCCGTGCTGGTCGCTGAGGAGATACATCAGCTTCGTGCTGTGGATCGCCAGATCGGCTTTCACCGTGGACGAAGCGGAGTCCAGCCCGGAGCCGTCACATGTCCTTCCGGACGCTCCGTCGTTGAAATCGCCGGCCGCGCCGTTCTCAAGCCCGCCGCCTCTGCTCACTC